CAGAAATGTGTGGCTCTGAGACAAAGACGTCCCTTAGAACATTCACCTTTAACAAGCAACAGTCATCTTGGGGAGGGGGGGAACAGTAAGCTGATGATGCCATGTTGGAAAAGTACTCATATGAGACATACAAATAAAAATAGAGAACAGTAATACTCACTGAGGAATGGAAAACCCATTTTATCCTAAATTCTAAGTCCACTAACAACTGGAACTAAAACCAGCACTACATGCACAGCAGCAGATGTGGGAAAGACTCCATATTCTGGCATTGGCAACAGAAAATAAGCAGACCCACCATCTTCTTTCCCCTCTTACATATTGTCTATGGTGGAGCTACATGCCATACCAAATGATGTTTTTAACCTATTTTTTGCAGAGAACAGCAGGAGAATTTGTGGGAAATCCCAGAAAACTACTCCCCTTTCTCCAGTATCTTGCTTAAACACAACTTCCCCAAACCCTTGAATTCCTTCTGGGTACCCAACATCTAACAAGACTGACCTCACCACAGACTGCAGTTCTTTCCCTTCTTGGCAGGTTTGCTCCCTGTGCTAGGCTCCATCTTAAAATTACTCTATTTATATACTCAGTAAGTTCATTTAAAACATGTGTGTTTGTAAATAAAGAGCTTTCCAGCTCACTGTGGATATTAAACTAAAAGGAAAACACTAAGAGTTTTTGAAACCACTAGTAAGGTAGCATTCCTCTGCTGCTTTTCATCCTTCAAGTCACAAGATGCCAGAGCACTTTACAGTTGTAAATACAAAGCTGCTCACCCAGTAGTGAGACACAGACAGTCCTGGGGTGGAACATGGCTGCTCTAGGACATGACCGTATCATTACAACCCCTCATCCTGCTGGGCTCTCACTTTTGCTCTGCCACCCTGTGGCTGTTCAACTGCACGGCTCCAATAAGCAGGTAAAGTGCCCACTGCCCAGAAAGAGATGTCTTGTACACGCGAAGAACTCCACCAGTGCGGATGGCTCGTTTTTCCATAGTCAGGTACTTGCAACCAATTAACACAACTGGTAGAACTTGCGGAAAAGAGCTATTTTCAACTGACTGGAAACACACTGGTACTTCAGGGCTTGGACAACAGACCGGAGTTAATGGCTCTGCCCCAGTCATTAAATGCACTGTAGTTTTTAACAGAAACCATTCTTTGAGAGATGGGTTGCAAGCTTGATTCAAAGTCTTAATTATCAATGCCAGCGCATACCCATTTCTAGGTGAGATTTAGTTTTGATTCCAAGTAAAGGATGCCACCTACTGAATCCTTGCTACCGCAACTGCATGCTTTGACCCTTACAGCTCAAGACCTCTGGCAGGATCACAGTCCAGACTGTAATCCCAAAATAAATTCCAAAGAAAAGCACAAAACAGGCTTGTGAAAACAAAGCTTTTCTCACTGCTACTCTCCCCACAACCCAAAGATGTATTACTCATTGAACATCTGCACAGCCATAATAATTTCTAGTGTTGCAACACTGACAACCTTAGCAATATTAAAAAAACCTCCTAACATCTTTATTCCATTTTAGATTCATTTTAATACAGTCTGACAATATATGCTAGTACAGAACATTCTGCAACATTTAACCCCTGTTCCCAGTTGCCGTTCTTAACTTCACAGCTTAATGACACAGAGTCAGTAGATCACAATATGACCCTGTTAATATTTTTTTAATGCCATTTTTACAAATTACAGCATAATGCACTGATTACGAGGATGAAAGGGAAGTCTCTACGTCTGTCTGGAAACCAAATAAAAGAATGTTTGAACATCTGTTCATCCTACAAATGTCTTTAAAAGCTTTGATTTTCCCATAATCATTTTGTTCCACCATTTCACCCTTTTTCAAATGTGTATCCAACAGCCTCGGGACAGCAGCCAGAGATCTGCAGTAATAGCACATTATAATCAAAGTTCTTGGGCACACTTAAGTTCTCTTTTTGGAATTAAAAATGGGGAAAAACAGCAAATCAAACCCCAGTCTTCAACAGATACCTCTCCAGCTGTCCGTCCTACAAAAGCCTCTGCTAGGGGAGCAAAATGAGCGGACGGGGCTTTGCAGCAGGGGCTTTACATAGAGGATTACAAAGCACAAGGACAGGCTATGGTGGCGGGGGAAGGGACCCACGTGAGGCACAAGCGTGCATGCCTCCCCATGGGTCAGGAGCAGCTTCCACGAGACTCTGCCCAAGTCCCAGCCTAAGTGCCTGAACACAGGCAGTTACTCACCACACACAGGAGCTGGTGTAAGCTGCAGGGCAAGAGCCTTCCTCACCATGCTGGGCTCTCAGCACACGCTGTGGGAGCCCTGCCAGCACCCAGATTTACATCTTCTACAGAGGCAAGAGCAGAGACAGAACAAGGAGAAGCAATGAGCAAAGATGGGAAATAAGAGCACTGAGGAAGAAGTTAGGTCTTGGACTGAGAGGATGCAAGAAAGATGTTGAGTTAGTACGCTAGGCTGGAAATGAGACGGAAGATTGAAGGAAAAGTGTGTTACAGGAGACTGGGTCAGAAAGGGATGGAGGTCCAACTCTGTAAGCTGTTGTTGCTCCCTCCCTTGGTGTAACCCAAGCAAATAAACCATGGGACCCGCAGCACTAGAAGATCTTTCAGTCAAGCAGAGGACTGCAAAACTAAGTATTCAGGACTACTGAGTTTTCAAACACATCACGCTCCGTAACAACTGACTCACTGATCCTGCTATGGACAATCCACAGAGCAGAAAACAATCAGACAGTGCTTTGTAAAAATACGTACCACCATTTACACTGACAGCCTCCTCTCCAGAACTATTAAAAAAATGCCTTAGAAACTAAAAAGACAAAAAAACCTGTAAGGGCAAGGCTAACAACTGTGGAGCAGCCAACAATATCCTACAGCAGCACACCTCTCCTAATGACTGCCCTTTTCTTTCCAAAACTCAAAGCAGAGTTGGCAGAATTTAGCAACCCCTTTAAAATTTGGCAAGGACATTAGAACTATGTAGATAAAAATGTAAGTTCCTTAATAATTAACTTTTTTTTAAAGAGAAGGTTTTTTTATACCAATAATTCTTAGACTAACCTGGGATGGTAATAACAGTATTCCTTCTATATCATCTGTTTCTCTAGCTTCCATCACTGCAGTATCTTAAGCAGAGGTAACAGTGCAGGGTACAAAACAGGATTTGATAAAGTCTTAAAAGAAAGATAACATAAATATTCTTTCCAAAGACTGCCTTTGGGGGTGTCTGGGAAGAGGAGAGAAATGGAGAAGGAGAGGTAACCGGGGTGTGAAATGCATTTTTTTCATTGTGGAAGGATACAATTTCCAGCAAGGCTGGCAGCACAAGTCACATTAAGCCACAGCTGAAGTTGCCTGCCTAATTCCTCTGGGATCACACTGAAAGCATACCCCATAATCTTAAGGGATGTGCTAAAGCTTTGCTGGGACTCACTCAGCAGAAACTGTTTGGGATTATTCCACAAAGCACTAATTCTGTTCTGATTTAAAGGGGCACCATCAACCTAGTTTAGGCGCCAGACTTGCCCTGTCTCACAAGTGTCCAGCCGTAAATAT